CACTTGGCATCGTGAAGTAGCCGGATGGATGAGGGAGGACCATACAACCCTGATCTGGGCTGGGGGTGTATGCAGGGGGTTCATCTGAAGGGTTATCGGTCGAGCTGTCGACGGGGTCGGTGTTTGGAGTTGCTGGCATGGCGGTGGGAGGAGTTACAACGTAGCCTCCATTTTCTGGAGCAAAACTCTCAGACTTTCCCGACACGCATGTGTGATGTCTGTCCATAGAGCTGTCAGGTAATTTGTCCTGGGTGCAGGATTCCTCGCAGCACAGAATATAAGGCCCACTGAAGTTTATGCCTGATTTGTCTTTGCACATGCCTTCCCCCACATAGGCGTGCAAGTGGTTTGATCCACCTGACCTTGCCATTTTAACAGCATCTTCACTGTGTGACAAGAGCGGCTCCCAAGAGACACTGTAACAAAGTTAAGTGTAAAAGAAAAATATTGTCAGACATGGAGATTTAAGATACACAGGCATGAAACTGAATCCACTTCCATAATGTGACTTACAATAAGTTTGAGTGTTTGAAAAGAAAAGAGGCATTAGGTGACAGGTTTCATTTCCTTTTTAGAGAAGTGTTGCTATTATTAAATAAAACTAAAAGCAAACCTAAAACTAACAATGCTTTTCAGTAATAGTGCCGAAATATAAATAAAATCTCAATAAGAATAATGATATAAAATATTTTACACATTAAGTCGAAGTACTGAAATGACTAAAACTAAAGCTGAAATAAAATAGTTCAACGTAAATAATTAGAATAAAAATTCAAACCACATAAATCACACAAAGATGTCTAAAACTTAAACTAAAATGAAAATTGAAAATATAAAAATAAAAGCTAATCTGAAATACTGACATTTATGAAGACAATTCATATTTTTATTGCAAAATGTTGTAATTCTAGTCAGAGCTGCTTGCCTGCTTTTGCAGAGACTGACATTGTCTGCAGCCAGTAGTACACAGATGGAGGTTGTCTCTTTCTCACTCTGGAGATTTGGCCATCCACCGGGAGTCTTCAGAAAGATAGAAAAAACAATTATGTAATACATATAACTAGGTGTAATTTGGAAGAGTGGATTACTAGTTATAATACTTAGACTGTACTTAGACCAAAAAGGCATATTTGCCATCATTTTAGCTTTTGTGTACCAGAAACAGTGAAATGGAATGCCTTTTGACAAAGGTATTGAAATAAAAACAAACTGAAAACACTATATTAATATTGTACATCAAGCTGCAGATTCACCTTAAACATTTACTGTTCTGAGATCAGTTAGTAAAGACTCACCGTTACCATCTCCTCCAGCACTTTGCTCTTTATGGGTGATGGAATCGATCCTTTCCAAATCTTGATCCTTCTATTATAGAATTACACACATGAATAAACAAACACAAACAAAAAACGCTAAACATGAGCGAATGTTCCTGTACCAATACCAGTGTAATGAGATGAGATTGATTTCAAGAGAATGTATAAATCGATTAAATGTATATTTTGATTTCAGTGTATGCCATTTTGGACGGCTGCATAAATGCATGAATGTAAATGAATAGTGGGTTTCACCTGTGTAAGACTGGTAGCCCGTTGTACAAGGTGACGAAAAAAAGCACGCCCACAAACACAGCAGTCAAAATGTAGATTACAGGGCTGATGGATGATGAAACTACAAACACACACAAAGAGTTTTTCTTATGCATCACGTATCGAGTTCTGTCCTGTGGGTATCAACTACTTTTGCCCTAAGCATAAATCATTTTACAAAGATATTTCCAGATCCAGATTTGCTATTTTAAAAGAAGCTCGTGATGAATTATATACACATGAAGTTAATTACTTTAATGCAAAAAAGACAAAAGGGCATGCAGTCACAGGACACTTATTTTATTTTATATTTATAGCATTTTATATTTAGTTCTGAAATACTGTTAGCACACTCGGTAAGTATTGTGTATGAATGAATGAATGAATGAATTATTATTTTACAATATTCCATTTGTTAACATTAGTGAACTGCATTTACCATGAACTAACAATGAAAAATACTTCTAATAAATCTATTAATATAAGTTCATGTTAATTTGCTAAAAACGTTAATAATAAAACGTGGTATATTTTAATATTATTTAATGGCCTTGAGCTAACATGAAATAACAAGAAATAATTGTATTTTTATTAACTAACGTTAACAAAGATGTAACAAATTTAGGTAACACTTTATTTCAAGGTGTCCTTCTTACACATGCTACACGTACTTACTATTATAATAACAAGAAATTATGCATAATTGCATGCAAGTAACCCCAAGCCAAACCCTAATCCCAAACCTAACCATATAGTAAGTACTGTACGTGTAGTTAATTAATATTACTCAGTACTTAAATGTATAATT